TCACCGTATATTCACCGTATTTATTTATTTATTTATTTATTTATGTCCTTTGACAGAGCGACAAAACCGTGGTAATCGGTTTTGTCAAATGACCAATTGTCCGCAGGAAAGCAAGCTGTCCGTTCGTTTGGCATTAACATTTAGATTGGACATTCTCTTACTCAAAGAGGGCACGCTAGTCAAATTAAATAATAATAATAATAAGGTAAGGTACACACATTGACAACCGTTCTTTTATGTCTTGGGCGAAAAGCAAAAATTAAAGCAAAGTATAAGAATTGTAATGGATTTTTGCATGTTACTTCAGGAACAATATACTTATAGGTATAGATGTAAATGTTTAAATTACGAATAACAAAGAAGCAGCCACAAAACCAACTAGTATTAGAATTGTTCACCATATTTGTATCAAAAGAAGTAAACGTCAAAGTTTCTTTGTTTAATTCGAACTTTGTAACATGATAACATCCTAAACGAACTGGACATATTGGCGTTGACCAGTATTCATCCAGCTTAAAGGAAACAGATCTATTCGTTGATTGAATATAGATATCTTATTAGACGTTTTGTTGTGTAGTATCGCTGAGTGCTTTTACAAGTTGTGCCGTATTTTGACGAGCCCGTAGGGCGAGTCAAACTACAAATAATGAATAACAATACTCAGCGATACAGTAAAAACCCGCATACAAGAACATGTGGATTAAGAACACCCAGGCTGAAATCTGGTAAAAAGGGAGCATATATATAAGAACACATTCAGCCTGAAAATTGAAAATTGTTCTTATATCCACAGGCGGCCCAAGCTCTCTTTGAGAACCACACAAGGAACACAATTTGCATATTTATAAGGATTTGTATGGGATTTTCTGCAAGATATCCACAGAGATAGTTAAAAGTNCCTGTGAAGTGTTTGGCCTTGTCTTCTCTTTATGTGGTAGAAACCAGGATTAAAAAAACCGCTTAAATCAAGTGCAATCGGTAAAATAACGACACGAGGAGCAAACAACACACGTACGGAACAAGGTAAGCCATTTTTATTTAATATTTTCACTTTTAACTATCTCTGTGGATATCTTGCAGAAAATCCCATACAAATCCTTATAAATATGCAAATTGTGTTCCTTGTGTGGTTCTCAAAGAGAGCTTGGGCCGCCTGTCGTTCCACGTGTAGAATGAATTGACTAAGTTTTTTTAAAAGTTACAAATCATATTCTATTTCGGGTTAAACAAAACGACATTGATCAGCTAATTGTCAATCATATTACAATAGTAAAGGTTACGCAATACTATTTAGAGTCACTGAAACAATATTGACGATCGTACGCTTCTTAACCCTATTGAGACTGACTTAAGGTATGGGTCGCACTTGGGCAAAGTTTTCTACTTTGCCGGCGAAAAAAACACAGAAAATTTGAAACCGCAACCGGAAGGCAAACTTTTGGTTTCAACTATTAGGGTCGCACTAGCTGAAAAAAATGTCAGTGACGACACTTTGATAAACCAGACAGCAGTGAGCTGAAAAAGGAAAACAAACGTTAAAAAAATGCGTCCCGTTGAAGTAGTGTTAATAACGATCACGGTGATGCTTATTCTTCCTATTCAGTTAAATCACGAGCACTTTTTTGTCTTTCGTATGATCTATGAAAGATGGGTTAACGCCTGTCAGCTGTTTTGACTGCCGTTATGATGAGAGCGAGAAATCGACGTCAGCGAAGATTACTTCGAGGGCCATATGCCTGGTTTGTTCCGCGACCAGTCGAGTCGTTTGCTGTTTACTGACAAGCGATGACAGTTACCGCTATGATAGCTATTTGTTTAGCCCGAGTTTTCCGAAATCTACCTGCCCCAAGCACTACGGCGTCTTTGATGTTTTGGCCAGTTTTCAAAGTTTTTGCGTACTGGAAAAGTTAGGGTCGCATTAGGTAATGTGCCCCGATGACAGATTTTTACACCAAAGTGACCACATTCACACCAAACTTTGCCAAGTGCGACCCATGCCTTAGAAGGCAACAACTTTTTTCGTGGAAAGGAGAAAATGTTTCGTGGAGTTTAACCTTTCCGGCCCCGTCCACAAGTTTCCGTTTCACGTTTCTGTTTCAAAACAAGACCACCTTGACCTCATTTTGTGACCTCAAGCTTAGCCCGTAACGCATCAGACTTCAGTCTGGTTTCCCTTTTTGCACTCTGCCAAGCGAGGTTAGAAGAAAGTAGGTGAGCTAAACTTTGTTCTGGGTAACTGGAATAAATAAGCTTTAGGCGAAATATTCCCCAGCAGAAATTTAGGGTTTTCTTTCTGGTCTTTACCATCCACAAAAAACGATGTCAGGTTTGTAAATACATGATGTAATTACAAACCCAACATCGCGTGTTGAGTAGAACAGAACACGTAGACAATACAAAGTAACACCACGACTGAAGAAACATTTTAAATTTTAAGGTATATAACCCTAGAAACACAGAGAAGCTACTATAGGGCTACTACCTGCTATAGGATGGTATAACCTATGAACATTTATCATAGGTTCTTGGTTCGTTGCTTCAAGATCAAGAATGTTGCCTTGAAATCATTCCTGCGTAAGCCCTACGTGACGGGATGTGTTTCAAGTGACTATTTGTCGACAATGTTTGTCCCTCGCTAGACTGTTTGGTACTCTTGAAAACAAAGAGTTTTGAATATTTCATTGGCAACTTAACACAGAATGCGAAAGGTATGCTCGATAATCAACTTTCGCATTAATAATTTTCGCTTAAGTAATTAAGGGTATTGAAATATTTCGCATAAGTAATTTACGTAAGGGTATTGAAATATGACATAAGAAACGAAAGTTGGATTGCTTCATCATAAAAAAAAAAGGCTCACTGTTGTATATTAAATTCATGAAACACTTAAATGAATCAATAAGACGAAAAAAACGGAAAGCTGGTGTTCTTTGGAGAGACTGTTATCAAATAAAACAAGTGAAGTAAAATGATTTTGTCATTTCGTTGAACTTTTGGTTTCCGCTACGATTGTTTATTTGAGCGGGTTTTCACGTATATTGTTCCCGTTTGTGAGTCGATGCGAATCTTGCCGTTGCTCTTGTGGGAACATAGATTTTGCCGCGAGGTTAAAATAAGAGTGTGGACCACTGACGAGTCGACAACCTTAGAAGTTTACGGAA